TAGATCTTAAAAAATTGCATCTTCCTAATGTCTGCAATTGGATTCACCATCAACCCCAACATTCATTGCATAGCAAATCTAATTTTCATAAAACAAACCAAATGCCTGCAAATGGATTCACCATCAACCCCAAAATTCGTTGCATAGCAATCTAATGTTCGTAAAACAAACAAGCTGTCTGCAAATCGATTCACCATCAACCCCAAAAAACAATTCACTACCCCCTTCGTGCACATCGCCGTCGCCAGTCGAGACCAAAACGCGGCGCTAACAGGTCGTGGCCACTGTCTTGAAGTTCCGATGGAGACCAAAGATGCCGGCAATCTGGGCGGCTTTATTTACGGCAGAGTGACTCTTGTCGGCGCCTTAGATGACGAGTTTGGCTATGTTGCGCGAGCGGGGGCCAGCGGCAAGCGGGGTCGGCGGCGATCAAGGCCGGCGGCACAAAGGTGGTGGTGTGACAAGGCGGGCAGTGATGGTGGTGTGGCAGCGGGCTAGCTATTGGCGGTTGGGCCGGTGGCTAGCGGTGGTCATGGTATTGTTGCTGGTGTATGTGTGTGTGTGTGTGCAGAATGTGACTGTGCGTCGATGTGTGTGTATGTGTATAAGTGTGTGATGTGTTTGTGTGGAGAAGTGTGTGAGAGATAGAGAGTTGGTGGTGGTGGGTGGTGTAGAAACGTGTATGATGGTGGGTAGGGTGGGGGATGGGTCTCATTGTTTAATGTATTGGGTTAATGACATATTTATCCTTAATGAGTGCAAATGACCAAATTACCCTTAATGAGGTTGACTTTAATTATTAATTTTGTTACCACCATGACCATTGATATGTAAGATCTAATGGTCCACAATCATTTTTATTTCTTTCGCTATGACTCATTCTCATTTGAGCGCACTTCTATAAATATATATATATATATTAGGCTTAAAATATTTCTTCTGTTTTTATCTTTTCATATTTAAGTAGAATATAATTTTCTATGCTCTATACTCAAATCCTTTACTTTTCCAAAATAGTTGGTTTACCCAACTTTTAGGGCGTGTCTAGATACAAATATATCTATTCAAAATGAGTTTTTTTTAATTAGTCATTGTTAATTTTGAAACAATTGATATGGTTTGTTGTTAGTGCGATTTTGAGTTTATATTAAAATAATATTTAAAATTTAATAATTAAAGTTGATTTGATGCAAAAGTAGGAGAGGTATTATGTGTAGTGATGGTTAGTTAAAATTATGTGATTGGATGAATATTGAATTAAAATTGATTTGATGTGTTAGAACATGGTTTAGAAAACTAGACCGGACTGGCCGGTCCGACCAGTTGGACTGGGAACCGGTTAGTTGACCGGTTTGATTCGCTGGAATGAATCGGTTGCCAACGATCCGGTCGAAACCCAGTTTGTTTGACTAGTGCAGAACTTGTGCGATGCACGCGTTGGATAGTTTTAAGGCTATTTACCCAGCTTTATTATTATATTCGTGAATAAAAAAATTTGATTAATAGAATAAAAAGAATAATACAATATATTATTAAAACCTCCTTATAAACAACATTTTCTTCTCTGTAGGCACACTGTCCTCCATACAAACTAATATTTTCAAGTCCATCGATTAGTTATGCGGGAAACAACTACATACAACTGGTCGTGACTGAACACAGACTTCTTAAAAAACATGCCAAGATGTGATAAAGACTGACTTTGGCTCTTGTTAATCGTCATAGCAGGAGAAACCATCATGAGAAACTACCTCCGCTGAAATTTGAAAGGTACTACAACATCATAAGGTGTTAGATTCATTTGAGTTACCAACACATTCTTTCATGCATTAGATCCAGTGAATACCTTACATTCAAGCACATGAGTGGAGAGCTTTGTGACAACCAATCTCGTACCACGGCACATCCTCATAGAATGGTCAATGTTCCACAACAACATGACTGTTTACTCCTATCTTAAGATTTAGCTCACGGTTTGGCACTCCAAAACATCTGATAGTATTAAAAAGCTCAGGGGTCTAGAGATCAGACAAAAAACCATTATCAGATTTGTAAGTACTATCAGAGTTCAAGTATGTTTAACTATCAGTCACTTTAAAAAATGTCATGTACTCATTCATAGACTCAACCACCTCCAACGTTGGGGCTATTATAATCCTATCATTCAAATAACCGGGATCATCGGTTGCATCCTTAAATATTGGATACGTGCTCTCAATAATTAGATAACTAAGATCATCAGTGGGCTTCAACAATATATCATCAGGTATATCTGTCAATGAACATCCATCATTGAATCCCCCAATGGCTCCATCTCCGATGCTCGCTATCCAATTAGAAAAAGTTGTCGCTCCTTATGTTCATCCGAATCACCAATACTCTGAAGGCTCATATTCTTTTAATACTCGACACAGTACAATCAGCCCATATGCCAGAAGAATTAATTGCAACATTCACAATATCCTGATGGTACCTCTTTGAAATAACCGGGAGGATTTGTCGAAAGTCCTCATCGTGAAATAGGATTTCTAAGTAACTCTTGTATTCAACTTCAAATTTGTGTTCAATTACTCGAATCGTACGCAACATCATGGGTAACTTTTTAGTTCTAGTGACATTCTTGATCAGACCGAATTCGCACCTCATGTTGAATTGAATTAAATAAGTATAAATTGTGTATTTGTGCAATAAAAAATAAAATCCAAAGTAGGATGAGTAAACAACATCGATCTACGCTGAATTTATAGGGGAAGAAGAACAAAGTATTTTTTTGATCAATTCTATAAATATTTGATATGAAAATATTTTAACGAATGCAATAAATTGCCTAAGATACATGTCAATTTTTAAATGTGTGCAATTAACACTTCTTCTATTTTGTAATAACAAAGATTTACTCTATGTAGTTCACACATTTTTGGTTAATCTGATGCTATTATATTTTCTATATTTATTTATTTATATAATGCAAATTAATCAGCTGGTGATTTGTAATGTAGTCATGTAATATTTGATTAGAAGATTTTTTTGGCAATTATATTTTGGTTATTTTCTAATCAATTAATTATTTGATTATATCGGGTATATTGAATCAAATCGACAATATCGATATTTTTTATGTAGATCTAGTGTATTTTTTGGTTGGTCATTGTGAAAAGAAATTGTGGAAGTTTTTTGTTAAAGAATAATTAATATGATATACAATGCCATTTCTATAAGATCTAATCATAATTTTGACTTTCACTCCAATCATTTATACAAAAAAATATGGGTTATATTATTCTACACATTTATTTTAAAATATTCGGTCATAATATTGTTCATATATTTCTTACCAAAAAATCCGAGACACTCTTTGTCATACTAAAAAAAATTGAACAATGCATTTCACGCAAAAATTTATTTGAAATGTCGTAACAAAAAATAAATTAAATCGAGACCCACTTATTATACTAATAAACAATTAACCAAAACATTTCTATAAAAAAAAAACATAGAGACACGAACATTATATCAAAATTTCCGTTCATAGTATTTTGTCGGAGTTACGGTAATTTCATTATGTTAATTTCATACAAAAAATTGAAACAAAAATTAAGATCCACGCCAAAAACCCAATATATTGGCTTGCGTATTTCAGATAAAATATATATCATATATTGGTTAATTTCCTAGCAAATTTCATAAAAAGCAATCAAATAACCTAAATACTTGCCTACTTTATACAATATATTGATTAATTTATTTTTCATAGAAACATCCATTAAATATGAAAATTAAACTCGCCAACTTTATACCATATATTGACTGATTTAATCCCCATAGAAAAAGCAATCAATTACCAAAAATAAATTCGCTCACTTTATAGTATATATTGATTGACCCCATATAAACGGTTATGATATATCAAAAATAATTCACTCACTTTATATTGATTGATTTATTTTCAGATATAGTAAATAAGATTTTTATTGGCGAGAAATAGTTACTATTTTAAAAATTATCCAATATTTTTATATAAATTTCAAAATTTTATTTTATCGAACAAGCCTATATTAAAGGCTATGCTAGTCAATAAAAGTAGTGAAATAGACACCATAATCCATAAATCAGAAATTTATATGCTTGCATATCATATTATAATTTCAACTTTTTATTTAAAAAATTGTTCAAATAGGATTATTCTTATTTCGCATTTGAGTAAAGATTCGGAACCCAAATATGTACGTCCATCCAAGTGCTGCCACGTTGCATTTATTTTTTATTTTAAGAGAAGAGAAAGTTATTGCCATGTGAAACTCGGATACCTAACCCTAGACATGGCCACGGGCCGACCCGATCCGTGGACCCGGACCAAAACCGATCTCGGACCGGACCAGCCCTTAACCGGCCACTTAAGGGCCGGTTCGTTTAATCAGACCGTAAGAGCATCTACAATGTATTGGGTCTAGTCTTGCCTATGTGGCATGTAAATAAATCTAAGTCTTGGATAACATAGATAAAAATATGTTAAATTAAAAAAATTCACTCCAATGCAAAGAGACCAGGTCTGTACTCGAGTGTAAAATAGACTTAAGGGGAGACCGGGTCTCTTTTTCTGGCTGCCATATCAGCAGGACCCAGTCTACTTTTATTTGCATTGGAGAATATATTTTTTTATACTATGTCTATTTCTTAGGTGGCATGTATTTTTTTGGGATTGAATCCAAAGCATTATGGATGCTCTAAGGGCCGCGGTTCGGTCCCGGCTTGCTCTATTTCTTTTTTTATCCCGGCAGTCCGAGCTGGGCCGGACCGGGTTGCGGGCTGAAACCGGGCGGCTATGTGTTTTTAATTTTTTTTTTATTATTTTTATTCTACGGGCTGGGTCCAGGCCGGGTCGATGAACCGGCCCTAAGCACTTTCCGGTTCGGTTACGGGCCTTGAGGACCATCGGCCCGGCGGGCCGAGCCCGGACCTGTTGACTGGCCATGTCTACCTAACCCACAATATTATTATATTTTTTTTTTTCACTTCATGAGTTTATATAACACAATTCGTCCCATTACAAAACTTTATCACAAACTCCTACTTTTTAAAGAAAATTCGTATTTCACATTGGAATATTCATATGGAGTGTGTATTTAATGCCAACAATTAACAAAATATTAAAAAAAGTGAAAATTTCAAATTATGTGGGTGGGGAAGTTCGACTTGAGCCTGAGCTCGAACCGAAGCCAAAAGGATTAACATTGGATGAACCCGGGTTGGAAGAAGTGGAGCCCGAAACTGAAAGTAGTTCAGCTAATGCACTCATTGCTCTAACCTGCCATTGCAAAACCATCATTTCCCCACTTTTAAAATTTAAAACAAATTTAATCATCATATAATCGTATAAGAATATGGTTATCCTGCCAAAAACCTATTCATATCTCCTACATGGTATAGTGAATTTTAACCTATTAAAGAGTGCTTTCACTCTAATTTTAAGAAAACAATTGAAAAGATTTATGAAAAAAATAGGGCCAAATTACATGGAAAATTGAGGTAATGAATTTATATAAAATAACATATTATTCCCTAAATTTTGAAGAAAAAAAGAAAAATTGCAAGTCTTTATTTGTTTTACCTGCATCTCAAGCGCGGCTATGTAATCGGTGGCCTCTTCCAGAACCACCGGAAACGACTCTTTCCGGCAGCCGGGGACCAGCCGGCTCAGTACGCGCGCCTTGCGCTGGACCGCCGGTAGCGACTTGGACCTCAAGCTCGAGATCTGCAGCTTCGATTTCCTCTGCATCCGGCCGCCGGTGACCACCGTCAACACCCGGGTCTGCCGCTTAGCAGTGTTGTTCTTCTTCAAGAACTTCAGCTTCAGCCGGTTCGTGAGTATCGCGCGGCTCCACCGCGTCCGGCCCCTCGCTGTCACCGCCAGGACTCTGTCCGCCGCCTCGTGCACCCGCCGCGGGGCGGCGCCGCCCTGCCGGATCTGGCGCAGCGCTTGGAGCAGCTTCGACGAGTAGATTTGCTGCTGGGCGTCGGATTTCCACTCGATCCGCGGATTCTGTTGGTCATCGGCCGGATTTTGGGTCGGGATTTTCTTCTTATTCTTCTTCCTCCTCGTTGACGACGGCCGATCGGAATTCACAACAGGATTGGCCCAAAGCAGAGATGACGTCATCTTCGGCGCTGCTTTTTCTGTGAAATCGGCGATTTGAAAGCTGTGGGGCTTCAGATTCAGGTAATGGACTGTGCGAAAAAAGGAAAATAATAAAACAAATAAATAAATTTCAGATTCAGAAAGTACAGCAGCTAGAAGATTTGAGGAGGTTCTGCATAAAGAAAAAGTAACGCAAAAGTGAAATTAAAAATAATTGCGAGATTAAGCTTTGATTAGGGGTAACATAATCAAATCTTTCATAAAATTGAAACGAATTGTCAGATTTAACTTTGATTCACATAATCATCACCTCAGCTGTTATTCTTCTTCGTCTGCTGTTGCTGTGTATCCTTCTGAAGAGCGCAGTAAAGCAGAGAGCAAATGCATTAATCTGCTAAAATATAATACGATGAGTTGAAATTTATTATTATGTGTGGGGATATAAAGGAGGAGAAATGGTGGAGGCTTTTAGAAGGGAATAACTCACAGGATGGGTGTGCACATGCCCCGCCATTTGATTTTTCTTAAATCATTACTAGTGTGTACAGCCACGGAACAATATTAAATTGAGGGAAAAAATCTTTTTCACCTCATTACAAAGATACATTAAGTTTTTCAAATCGTCCACTAACAATCTAATTTTTTCACCCCGAAAAGTGCGAAGGTTATGCCAATGGACTGCATAACTATCGCATATCAATTGCATAACTGTCGCATATTCATCGCGCAATGGCTTCGCACTTTAACTTTTTCCACCCCAGAAAGTGCAGAAGTGATATGCGAATGCCTTCGCACTTCTAACTTTCGCACAATGTCACCGCGCAACTATCGCATATTCATCGCACAATGCCTTTGCACTTTAACTTTTTCCACCCCATAAAGTGCGAAGGGATATGCGAATGCCTTCGCACTTCTAACTTTGGCATAATGTCATTTTGCAACTATCGCATATTCATCGCACAATGTCTTTCGCACTTTCTGGGGTGAAAAACTTAACTTTTTATTAAGCGGTGTGAAAAACTTAGCAGGACTTCAAAATGGGGTGAAAATAACTATTTTCACTTAAATTAACAATATTATAAATAAACCTCGAGTTTGAGTCACTCAATGGCGGAAGTGAAAATTATTATTCATCTTATTAAAAAAGAGGAAGAAGAAAAAATAATTATAAATTAAAGAGGAGGATAAACAATACTTAATAATTATAAATTAAAGATTCGGATCAAACAATGTAAAATTATTTTGTATAAGAGAATATAAAAAAGTTTGATTATACCATTTCAAAATTATTATTATACTTTTTTGTATGGCTAGCTTATAATATTTGTAAGAATATTAGTAATTAGACGAAAATTAGCTTCTTAAAGCAGATAATGGATTTCTAGTAGTAATTATGAATTTTATTTTGTTTTTTTCTTTTTAAAGATAATGGATTTCTAGTAGTCATTATGAATTGGTTTCTATTTTATTTTATTTTTTTAAATATGTATAGATAAAGGATGAGATTTTTTAAACACGTGAGAGTATGCAATGGGATTTTGTAACAGAAGATAAGCAAGCGTAGATTTATACTAAAATAGGAAAAAGAAAAACAAATATTTATTGTCAAACAACGGTTTTGATAAACTAAAAAATAGGAAAAAGAGAAACAAATCTTTACACAATTAATGAGCCGATTTTTTTGCCTATTCAGATTTTTCCAACAATTACTATATGTAGGATATATTTAATGATTTTGGCGGGAAAAAATTTCTAAATTTGTAAAAAGATTATTCTTTTTATATAATGATAGATTTTTTTATTATATTATTATATTATTATTATTATATTTCTATTGTTGTTTTTATATTTTACATTGATAAATTAAATGGAAAAAAATGAACCAATAGCAATTCTGTATTTTGTTTTGTGAAAGGGTGTGACTTAGGAGGGTGTAATTGTAGCCCGTTATTTTTTCAAAAATCAGAGTTAATTTTTATAAAAATTTAAAAATTTATTCAACAAGCATTACTCAACTTATCTCAAATCAACAGCTTAAATAACAATATAAGCCACTGGGAATAAACCATCTCAGATCAACACTTCATGTCAAACAAGTAAAACATGCTTCATCAATAAATTCACACATTACCAGCATCAATAATTCCAATTCATAATTCAAAGCATGCATAATATCCAATTTTCATAATCCAACCTCAAAACTCAAACATTTTAACAAGTCTGGCAGAAGATAACAATAATAATGATAATGTGGAAGCAAATAAGCAGTTCATAAATACAAGCAAAGTATGACCCCGCCCACTCGGCTTTCGCCACTGCTACAAGCTCAACCTAAAAAGAGGGAAAATAGTGGGGGTGAGCGACCAACTAACTGACCGTGGAAATACCATGCAGTCTATTCAGTATAATGACTTAAAATCATAATTGCAACATGAACATAAATCATCTAGTCTACCTCCTATACAACCCTATGCTCATGTGATCACATCTAAACCGTCGGAACACCATCAACGAGAGCTAAAACGTCAGAACTCCATCAACGAAAGAATACTCTCATTAGGCACAAATAGGAGAACGTCGGAACTCCATCAATGTGAGAACTTCTCATAGATTAACGGTTCACATGCATATATTGATTATCAAGCCGAGCAATTATAAGGAATAACATACACGGTAAGGTTTATCAACACCCACCTAATCAGTCGAAGAAGACGATAACACAACGATCAGATGAAAGTAGGTAGAGGGATCGATTCCTCACACACCTACATATAGTCAAGATAATATTTCAAAAATACTTATCTTGAAAATCGAGAAATTACAACGGAATTTCATACTTAGTCTATAATTATCGACTAAGTAGCTCGTGGAATTTTGTGGAATTTGGAACCTTCGAATTTTAGGGAAAAACTTGTAAAACTCATTTAAAAAGGCAAAAAATGGATTCTACGTGAAAAACGAGGTCAAAGGCTCGAAAACCAATTAACGACTCGGAAAAATAAAATCGAATTCGGTCGGGCCGGCACGGGCGCGGGTCAGCTCGTGTGGGCTGCAGCTGCGGTGTTGTTGGGCTGCTGGACGTGTGTGCGGGCGCGACTGGGGCGGCTGGGCTCGCATGGGTGCCGACAGGTTGCGTACGGGTCGTCGTGGCCGCTGGGCGCGGTTGCGGGTGGCTACTAGGCGCGCTGAGGGTTGTTGGACGTCGCCTGGGCATAGTACGAGTCGGCTTACGGCGACTGTGCACGACTGATGGCACGCGAGTGTCGTCTTGTACGCTGCGGGTGGACGCACGGGGCTGTTGAGGGTCGTTGGACAATGCCTGGGCACGAGGCGGGGCTGTCGGGAGCGATGCGGACGGCAGCGGGACGCCGGTGTGACTGTTGGGGCTCGGCGAGGCTCGATGTAGTGCCCCTTTCGAATTAAGGATTTTCCAGATTATTTAATTATCAACATTTGTATTTTATTTGCTTTATTTAACTTCATATTATTATATTATTGATTGAATAATATAATTGCTCGTTCGATTTTTTTTATTTATCGATTACCGTTCGGGTTTTTTCGGTTCAATCGCGTAAGGTAATTCTCGTTCCGTTTTTGGTATTTTTTCTCAAGCAATCTAACTGAACTTCGAACCATTTTTAACCAACCCTAATGTGTGGTATATTCGACCCTTATGACCCAAATGAAATCGGCCCTTGCTACCCAAACGACCGGCCTATTCAAATGGAGGACCCGCCCACTTCTAATTGCAATGGATTTGTGCCTTGAAATTCAAATAAGTTCATAACACTTTTGGTAAGTGTTGACTCCAATTTCATCAGCCTTAGATGCCGTGCAAAACCTTCCCCAATCCCTTAATTTGTGCCAAGTAGATCTCTTCATTTGGTAAGTATCAAATCTCCCATCAGAATTTCCATCTCCTTTCTCTCGCAAGAACCAGACCCTCAAACCCTCATCCCATCATCAAATTCCATCACATCCTCTCCTTGGTCTCCATTGCCCCATCGCTGCCGCGCCACCCGTTAGTGCGTCCCCATCGAGCATGGCTAGAGACGAGGGAAGGCCCTTCCCGGCGAACCTGTTGGGATCTGTGAGGATCTCAAAATTATGCAAGTCACGGACTATCTACGAATTAAACCCTAAGCACAGCGAAACTAGAAGCAAGGGTTCAAAGCGTTCTGTTTTTAATTTTGCCGACTTTGAGACGTTTCTTATTTTCGTTGAAGGAGATCATCTGAGTCTCATGTCCGTTGGGTAGTCGGACTAGCCTCCGGCATCACCACCGGATCGCTCACTGTCCAAGTCGTATCATCCTGGACCTCTGTTGACTTGGTCAAACCTTCTGAACTCTATCTTGGACTCGAACCGGGTCCTAGACTCTTGCAGGACCGGTTCTGGGCCGAGTTGGACCACCTAGAGCGAGCTGAGCCGGCTGTCCGCGTGCTGGGCCACGTATGTGGCGTGCTGGACTCGCTGGGCCGTGAGATGGAAGTCATTGGGCCTCTGCTGTACGCATTTGGGCCGCGGAGCTTGGGCTGGACGCATGTTGGTGGGCTGGAGGCCATGCGGGCTGGACGCAGGCTTCTCGCGGGCAGCGCGGGCTGAAGATTGTGAGCAGAGCGGGCCTCGCGCGGGCTAGACACGGGCCGGCCCGTGCGCTTTTCTTCCTCTATTGGGCCGTGCCGACTGCATGTTGGTCTGCGCGCTTTGGTCTTCCTCACGCTGGGCTGAAGGAGGCTAATGGGCGCGGATGTCTGGTCGTTGGAAGTGCTCCGATCACCGAAGAATGGCCGCAGGAGGTCGCCGGTCAGATCAAATATATCCGGTTGGCATAATTCTCTCTTTTTGTGAAAAACGGACAACCCCACGAGATACAGAAACATTATGGAGTTGAATATTTATATATATTACGGGGTAAATTGCTCGACTACCTCAGATGTTCTGTTGTATAACCCGACATCGTCTTCGATCATCTTGTTAAGCGATAGATCGGAGATATCTCTACAGGGATTACTTGGAGAAAAATAAAAGAATACAAGAGAGAGAAGAGAACACAAGAGGGATGGCGTGCGTGTGTTTCTTATGCGTATGGATCTTGATCTCCTAATTCCAAGAGATGTGATGAATTTATAGGTTACAATAGGGACCCTAAGAAGGTATTAAATTGGATTTCTCCTATTTAGATTAGACTATAGACCAATCCTACCAAAACCAAATAGGAATAATACATCTATTCCACTAAAGTAGTATTATTGAATAAACTCCCAATTTAATTCCCGAATTATATTCAAGGCTCCAATAATAATTACTCGATTTATTTCCCCGTATTTTAGATATAATGTCCATAAATTAATTTAATTACTAAAAATTAAATTAATCGACATTTATAACCGAGACTAGTACCACTCATCACATTATTATTATGTCGGAATAATTTCTACTGGCCAGATTTAATATAATAATCCTTCATTAGCTCATCTCGGGGACACCATCAGACTATCGCACACGGTGGCCGTAAATATTC